TTAGTTTTTCATATTACCCCAACATTTCGCTTTCCGATACTGAAAACCGCACCTTTTTAGCTGCTTCTTAGAAAAAGTTATCAAAGAAATGGCCGTGCTTCTTCTTTTTTGAAATGGATAGTAGTTTATGTATCTCATCAGCTTTAGTGTAGGTTGGATTGTTGATGTCAAATACCGGTGCTTCAAAATGCTGCTCATAGTATTTTGCTAGAGCATCAACAATTTCAGTCTCATTTGTTATACGAGTTTGTTGAATTGTGAGACCTCTAAAAGGTGGTGAAACGTTGGTTTGACAAACTTCCATATATTTTGACCTTGTGACATCCAAGTGAGCTTGTCACTTTCTACTTTATCTAGATATTTTATTTTTTCTCCGATAAAAAAACTTTTCCAGTAGCGAAACATGACATGGTCGTTTAACATATGGTTTCTTCTATATTTTCTTTTCCAAAAGTTAACTGTTCTTGCCAGAGTGACAAGATAGCATGGCCAGGGTGATCTGTACTTTTCAATCTGCTCGTATTCACTACATCTATCCCATAAGGAAGAGAGAAAGGAGGAGAATAGGTCAAAAAAGGTTTGCTCATCTGCATTATAAACAAATGTATTCCAGTACGGATAAACACATTCAAGAAATATCTTCCAGTTAGTTTTTCGAAAACAGCCTGTTTGCGATGCTGTGAAAGGTGCAAAACAGAGCACAGGAAAATGATCGGATGTCTCTTCACTCAGAACCTCTGTTTTCCATCCGCTCGCATCATTTGTGATACCGAAATCAATAACGGACTTAGATTTTTTGGATGCAATGATCTCATATCCATTCGCACCGAACCAGTCCTTCAACTGGATCCCACTAGAATTATTTTTCGCGCAGAACCATTCAACGTTTTTTGCATTAAAGTCACCAAAGATATCAAAATTTTTCTCAGTATAGGATTCAAAAAGATGAAAGGGAGGTACATATACAGCATCAATCAGGACTGGTTTAGGGATTACTTCTAATTCAAATAAAATATAATTAGTGTCAGTATTGACAGTTTTTGTTTGAAGCGTGTGATGAACTAGCACAGCCACGCCCCCAAAGCTGTTCGTTCCAGACTGCATCAGCCAACGATATCCTGGTATAGGAGGAAGATTTCTCAAGAGTGCACCCACACCAGTAAGAATGGCTATTTGGGGAGTATACGTTGATAGTAGAATATTCACATCAGCTAGATGAGAACTTAATCCTTCCACATTAAAATTTAATAAACATAAATTTTTAGCTACCTTATCCGGTCTCGTCTTCTTCCATAATCGACAAAGATCAGAGATGCATTTTCTAGAGTTCCATTCGGTGCACATCTGACTAAGGGTGTTTTTTTCACTCACTGAGCCATCATATTTGTTAATAATGTCTTTTCTTACACGCGGATCAGAATACCTGAATGTCGCATTATTCATTTGAGCAAAAGAGTAAGTCCATTCCCTCGATTGAAGCTGCTGTTAATTTCCCAATCAGTGTCGTAAGTTGTTTTTGAATTGAAGTGTGATATTCGAAAAATTTATTGTTTTCGATGAGTAGTTGTTGTGACATTTGATTTAAATTATTTTTCAGTGTTTCATTTTGTTCATTGCTTTGAAGGATTTGAGTGATTGACGACATTATTTGGAGAACACTGGCTCCCATTGGCATGACGGTCGAAATAATGCTAGCCGACAAACCGGTGATCATTTCCTGTTGGATTTTTACTTGTTGCGATATTAATTGCCAACCTTCGCGAAATTGAATCATTTTCTTTTCATAAATCTCGTTTGACCTTTTCAGCTCTTGATTAAAATTATCTTTAATTGTTTTCAATTCATCGTCAAATTTTTTCATCACATTTGGATCCACTACTATATCCAACTTGTTCGGTAACTGAGGCCATATATGAGTGGCTGCGCTGAAACCCGGTGTATTCGTGGTACGATTCAATTGTTGTTTTGAATTATTGTTTATAAGAACGCTAGAACGATTATGTTTATCTTGACATTGTGTAGGGATAAAAAGTTGTACGTGGCCAGGTAGACGTTCGGGATGACGTCTCAATTCGTTGACTAATTCACGATTTTTCTGTCCTCGCCACAACGACGACAGCGTTCGTAAGGTCCGTGGCATTGTTTTTTTATATGGCCAGAGCAATTGCATTTTGAACATATTAGTAATTTTGGCGCTTCAAGAAATTCCTTAACATCATAGAGTTGACTGAAGAGAGAAACTTGTCCACCGTTGAGAATGGAATCATAATCATTTCTCTCTGAAAAGTCAATCCGTATATGTCTAGCTCGACTTGTTTTAGTTCCCATTAAGTCATCGCAGGAATATATCGAATCGTATTTCTCCTCCATTTGATTTTTAATATCTTGAATTGAGACATCATTGTTCACAAATTTAATCAGTACAGAAAATGGAGACGGTAATTTCTTGGGCAATTGTGGTTCAAGTTGAACATCATTAATGTGAGCTGGATAATGAGACTGTATGTATAAATAAATAAAAATTTCTGAGCATTTTGTGAGAAGTGATACATCACCACTCATGTCGGTCCACCATGCTTCAAAAGCCAGGGGTTTCTTGAAAAACGGATTTTGTACATTGAAATGTTTTTCAATATGTTTAACCAGAGACTTAACGAAACCTGCACCATCTTCCTTGTGGAGTTTTGGTATACACACAATTTTGATCGGTGGAAAATGGTTATCCATCGCGAACTTTAGCGCCTGGTTTGAGATCTGAATATTTTCTTGCTGAATACTTTCTTGCCACACAATTGATTTTGATTATAATTTAATAAATATCCATCTCTTTAACTCCGTCCCGTTCGATCATCAACATCGAAAAAATCATCCCTCCCAGTTTCATCTGTTCGTAGTTTTTTATTATCATTCGATAGCCTATTTCCTGAATTATCGCCAGATAAACTCATATTTGTCAATTGTCGTTTAAAGGAATTTGATGCTTGAGAAGGGTTATTAGATTGACGATTTTGGTTATGAAACCGCAATTCACGTTGAAAATAAATACCATTTACAGCATCCTCCTTATCTTGTATCGATTGGTAACTCTTCGTAACTTTTTCAGAATGCATTATTTATCAGTTCTAATCGAAAACTTAATTTCGTTAACGTATTAAAATTGAATAAGTAAAAGCAAACCCAAGTAAAATAGTCAAAAACAGACACGTGTACATATGATTCTACCTCTCAAATCTGCACTCCTGTTTCAATTGAGATGAAAACACTCTGTGGGAAGATTCTACTGATTAATTCGGTCATACTGTCGTCAAGGAAATTAAACAAAGTTCTATCACCTCACATAATGACAGATGTTCATAAAGGTTGTCGTCTGCTAATTGATTATAAATTATTGGCATTAAGAAATGATCTGTTAGCAAACAACGGAAATTATTTTCAAGCATATTTAAAACTGGCTCCACACTCAGGTGAATGATTTAGCTAGAATGTTCATTCTGAGTTGTTTCAAGAAATAGCGGAGCTTGTAGGAAGTTCCTATGAAACGAAAACTATGCAGGGCTGTTTTTTTTGTTCTAGCATTAGAGACCATTGATTTCGGGATATCATTGAAAGCTTCCGGCATCACGGATATATCATCTTATTATGCGTCATTTCAAGGTGTGGATACAAAAAATTCAACATATATTACGCATGAAGCTCTTCAAATATTGACAGATGAACATTACCTGATATCAAAAAGCGAAGAGTATTCTAAATATGTCAACACAATCAATAAATCTCTAATCAAAAAGCCGAAAACAAATAGGTTGAAAAAATTCGAAAAAGAAAGTGATTTAACATGTAAGCAACACTCTTAAGTAAAAACGTTTCTGAGGGGCTGATAACCACTAAGTAGGCAGGACAACCTGCGACTTACAGGTTTAGTTTTAAATTCACCGTTTTCTTATCTATAGTTTCGTCCTGAGGTAGAATTAAAATGAAACCAAATTGTATAATTTCTATTTTTGTTCATTGGACTTAATTTTCATGGTTAAGAGTAAGTTTTCCAAATGAAATATTCTCGGTAAACTCGTTCTTTGAGGCTTTATATGGAACCTCAGATGAATTAAGGTCTTTTCCAACATACTTTCTTCAAACTGTTGCAAAAACCTGACGCGTAGCGCACCAAACAGATGTAAAATGAACTCATGCAGAGTTGCAAAAAAGGCGTATTAAAAAGATAAAATGTTTACATTTCGGAGGACTCAACGTCGGACTCATCAATTTATTGATCAATTAGTTTTTAACCTATTAATTTTTACTTACCATAGCTGGTCAAGACAATAAGGGATCAAATTCACAAGGTTGTTCTGCCCGTGGCCAAAGTCAGCCTTTAGTCATAGCACCAAATACGACTGTCAACAAGCGTACAAGAAACTTGGCTCGAAGAGCTCAAGAATGTGAAAACAATAAACAATTCAAAGCTTAGAGATCAAATCCTTCGGTTTGATTTTTCGATAGTGTATTTTGCATTTAATTATTTGGCATTCGCTTTATGTGCCATTTGTACTCATTATGTCTCATTCTTGAACAGAATGTACCACTTCTATTACAATTTAAAGTAGTTAACTGAAAAAACACTACGTTTTGCTCAGTTTTCTTTGCTTTGTCGGCTCATATGTGATCCAGAATTTTAAAATACAAAACTACCGACGACACAACGCTTGCGAATGGAATTTTTTATCTAAAACATCCAGAATACAATCAAAAAGGGTTTCCTTCGATATATTCGGATAGCGCAAATGAAGCTGTACAAAATGATAATAAAAGGTTAATGTGAAGATACAACATGTGAATAAATTGCTTGAGTCTTTTTGATACATGATCGAACCACATTTTGAACTCGCCGAATTCCTCTTTTTTATCCCTTTTCGTTGTTCGATGATTTTATTCAAAATCAAAATGTATCCACTAAGTGGAGAAAAGCGCTGGTACATCATCAGCGAGTTGAAAAAAGGTTCAATAAACGTTAGACAAACAGCACGTTTTCTCAACTGTCACATCGGCACAGTATATCGCATTATCAATCACTATCAATGTCATAGTAATGTGAATTATGGATATGGTTCTAATCGTCTATCTGCACTGGACCCAGAACAATTTGTAGCAAGTTCATGTGTCAATGGCGTTATTGGTCAGACATGAATTTTCAACTGACCTCAAAACTAGCTAGGTTCAGTAGCCAATAAATTCAGCGTACAAGCCTATCTAATTTTTGAACTAATGAGTAATAATTCAAATGACACATCGTTTAAAAGTTTCCACTAAACAATTTTAGGAGAACGTCTCTCTTTTCCTCTCTGATAACTATATGTAGCTTTCGTAGACTGTTTTAATACTTTAAAAAGAGTGCCTTCAGGTGATGCCTGTCTGCAATCCCTTGACTGTTAAGGTATGTCCTATCACACAGCAAAAGTTTTCTCCTAGAGTTGTTTTGTCTTTGCTCGCGTTACACAGAAACCCGAGTGCTCCTTGCAAAGTAAAAGTTATTTTGACGAACCAGCCTACTTCAATGAGTAAGTGCACAAAACTTTTAGATTTCTTAAGTCAGCCTAATATTAGTATTTGTCTGTTTAATCGCCAAAGTCGGCAATTCCGACCATTTCAGGACGTAGTTCCAAAATAATACGAATTAGTCATGACTACGCCTCGTTCATCTTGATGTCCGTCAAACTCTATTCTGTCAATATACAGAGTTCTCTCCTACTTTTGCTTTTGTACTTAAGAGCGGTAAACTAAAACCTTGTTGACACAAGATAATAAAACACTACACCAGCCTTCTATAGCAACTCCTGATTGTTTAAATTCATTTCAAGCAGAACTCTAAAGTGAATTTCTAATACCCTGTCTTCTTTGACGTACACTCCCATTCGGCTGTACCTCCATCATCAAATTTCTTCGTCTCATGCCAGTTTCGATATTCTTTCGTATTATAATTTGGATCATTCAGTCGGCCATTTGGCACTATCTTAAGCCATATATGTATACCCGGAGACCTGCCCTCCCTATGGACACCTGTCCATTCAACTTCACCACCGTAGTGTGGTTCTTGTCCTCTTGCTTCATTCGCATAGTCAGCATTGATTGAAAGTTGAATTCTCCACTCTCGCCCACTTGCAGTTCGCCCTGAGAAGTTATAATCGACTTGAACAACACGGCTGACTGTGGCATTGTTCTCATGAAAACGATTCATAGGAAGATTGGGATCGTCAAGAATTTTGCCAATCCAGTCTGTGACATTGCTTGGAATCTCATTACTTGTAATGTTGGTTTTTATGTAGTTCAGTATTTGTTTTATCACTTGATCGTTTGCTCCCGCTGGAGTTGGATATGTACGCTGCATTTCCCGTCAATTCGAAAACAAAAAATGTATGTTAGATTCTTTTACAGTGCAATTTAAGAAAGATACGTTTATGGTTCGAACTTTCGTATACAAAGAAAATCGATGCTCCTTATCTACTGAATACGCGATTATTAGAGACGTTGCACGTAGCCACTGAGCAAAGTCACAACATGAAATTTTTCAACATATATTTTTTATTACATATTCAAAATCAGCACAGAAAACTATGATTCCGAAAAATTTTTCAGTGAATTTAGACTTAATTTGACCGAGTTATAGGCATTTTAATAAGAGCGGGTCAAAAAACCCGGAAAAAGCAAGGTATTGAGTATTCTGCGTACAACTCCGTCAAACTTTGTTCGTTCTGTTTGAGCAACATCTCATTCGAAAGAACATCCAAAACTACATCGAAAAGTGTGTTTGAAATCAGGTTAGGTGACAAGGTGGGATTTTGAAAATAATAACTCTGAAAAATACGAGTTTTTAAAAATAGTCTTTTTTCACGTATTTTACATTTCACGAACGCAGTTCAAGACTGTCCAAAGATTTAGCCGCACCAAATCAGCTTTTTCAGAGGTTTTCGACTATGCTCTATCTCATGGAAGCAATGGAATGTGTAAATGAGCTAATTCTTGTATCGTCAATCACTCAGCCACCTCTACGGACGTCCATAATACTCCGCCAATAACGCTTCCATGAGATAGAGCATAATCGAAAACCTCTGAAAAAGCTGATTTGGTGCGGCTAAAACTGTTTTTGATGGACAAAGATCTCAAAAAATCGGGACTCGGCGCCCGATGACCTTGAAGAATCGTCAAAAAAACTTTTTGCGCTAGTTACTCGAATGACACATTTCCTTGCTTAGTTTTCGATGCTGATTCCGGATTTGCTATTTATTTGGAGTTTCAACGCAGTTTTGAGAAAAAAACGACGAAACTCCGGAAAAAAGCTCGGAAAACGGTGCTAGTCTACCATCTTGTTTGGTAAATTCGGCCATTTTGTGACCCATTTAAAAATTTCAAAAATAACCTATCTTGTAGAAAATTGTTTTCTCTACAAGAATTTGTTTAAAAATCTTTGGACAATCTTGAACTGCGTTCGTGAAATGTAAAATACGTGAAAAAAGACTATTTTTAAAAACTCGTATTTTTCAGAGTTATTATTTTCAAAATCCCACCTTGTCACCTAACCTGATTTCAAACACACTTTTCGATGTAGTTTTGGATGTTCTTTCGAATGAGATGTTGCTCAAACAGAACGAACAAAGTTTGACGGAGTTGTACGCAGAATACTCAATACCTTGCTTTTTCCGGGTTTTTTGACTCGCTCTTATTAAAATGCCTATAACTCGGTCAAATTAAGTCTAAATTCACTGAAAATTTTTCGGAATCACAGTTTTCTGTGCTGATCTTGAATATGTAATAAAAAATATATGTTGAAAACTTTCATGTTCTGGCTCTCTGTACAAATACTCGGTTCGCTCGTACAATGTCTCTTGATGTCTTCCTTGATTCAACTACATTTCCGTTTTCTGATCGTTTTTCCATGTCTTAGATTTATGTTTGTACTTCTGGTATCGAAGGGCTCTAATGACCGAACTTTTGCTCAGAAAAGACTAAGTCATTAAATAGGCTATAATCTGTACTTTCCGCTATCCAGACTATTACAAACTTCTGTTTGACATAGATCTCGTTTTCGCAGATATTTTGAGAAAATGAATGTTGTCTGAATATACTTCAGTTTCGCGGGCCACGAAGTCGTGGTGTGCTCGTTTTCAAGGCAATCTGTTAATTCGCATTAAATTTTTAAGTGCAACTTGTAGGCTTTAGACTGAGACTCTATAAATAACCTACTTCCTTTCCACAACAATTATTACCAGTACTTTAATCTTTCTTTTGCAGAAAATGTTTTACTTTTACGTGTACGAATTTCTTCTAGAAAAGTTTAGTCAAACACCAGGAAATCCCAGGTAAAAATTAGAGAAGGCCGTGACCCGTCTACAAAATTCCGTTTCATTTAACTAAACGGACCTACCGCCAGTGGTCACAGGTGGCTGCGACTTTGCTGAAACAACTTGGTACCGTTCAGTATTACTTAGAGGTGAAAAAGTGTCTCAAGTGCTAAGGTTATAGCTGGAAAATTGTAAAAAGTGCCACAAAATACTTTCAAACTGCAAGTGAAATTTTTAAGGCGAGAATAAGCTATTCTGTAGCACACAATCAGCTAGCGAATACCAACAAAAGTTTTTTGCCGAACTTACGTGATTTCCACTTCGATTCCGCTGCGACTGTCCTGGAGTTTGAGATCCTGAGGAGCTTGGTACGGCCTGTGGAGCTTGAGCATTCGACAGGTTGGCCCCACCTTTGCCTGATTTCGACCCACCTTTGGTAGCACTATCTTTACTTCCGCCTAAAAGCCTCGGTCGATTAGGACCACTGTTTTGACCTATAAGATAAGAATTGTAGAAAAGTAAAGTAAGTTACAGCTCAACGAAAATTAATCGGTCAATGCAGAAATCGATAGTTGAGCTTAATTTGCGAAAGACTTCAGTGGGTGAAAGTTTCCATCCCTAAAGATTTTCGCAGTCAGTTTGCTTTCAATTAAGATAACGGGCTTAGTTTCTACAGAATTTTTAAATAGTAATTAACTTATGTAAACCTTTAAATAAAAGGTGGAAAAAAAATTTATTTATCTTTTACAAAGAATACAGTTCGAGATAGCTAGCTAACACAATATTTTAGCTAATAATTTTGACACAGTATCAGTGATTTGGCCTAATTATTTTGCTTTTTATATCGACAAAAAATTGATCTTCGAGAGAAAGAGATCATTTTTTTACAATTTTGAATAATATTGAGTAAAATCGATTCGATTTGCATAAGCATTATCAGCTATCGAGAATGCCTCTCTGTTTCTTCCTCCAGCGAACTATCTTGACAATGGCCCGAGCACCACTTTTTCGGTTCTGAAATGCTGTATAGCAATCATTATCTAGGGCAAAACCTGTAGAGAATAGTTTCTTTTCCGGATATAAATCGGTTTTTGTAATTGAAAAAAGCGAAATAAACAGATAGGTGCTCCTTGCTTTACCATAAAACGGCTAAAATCTGCTTTTCCTGAGAAGGTGAAAGTCATGCAAATGAACACATTTTGAATTAGCTCACACTGTTTGAATTAGCTTTTGAACAACTGTTGGACGCCGATACCTACTCTAATGAGCAAAAAGTAGAAACTGTGTGAGCAGATGACGTCAGCCTACTCTAAACGGCGGCAAGCAAGCAAACGATTGTACATGGGCGGTTCTGAGCTACTCAATAATTAGGAAAATTGTGGTCAACGTCTCGGACGTAGTACCCGGCTTCAAGGTTTCTCAATAAACCTTCGCTTTTTGAGTTACTTACCGATCGCTTCAGTTCGAAGTTTCTGTGCAAGATCATTCAGAGTGCCGGCTTTTTGCCCCTCCGCCATATATTGAGCTGATGTCATTGAACTACGATTAGCGTCAGCTTTTTCCATCACTACCTCAGCCTGACGAGCTAATTTACCAGCTTTCTTCAGCTGAATGCCATTTTGAACATTTTTGGCCAGGTTGCCGCCAACCATACCTGTCATTGCATCACCTACAGGTGCCAGAGTCGTATCGAAAACATTTCCTGATTGTAAAAAAAGATGGATGTCGACGAATGATTCATGAAAAATAAATCAAACTTTCATGAGATACAGTACATACCAGGCGAGGGATTTTTCACCACATTGTCTACAGCGGCACATAAACCCTGTGGTTTGTTAGTAGCTAGCGTATGAGCACTGTCAAATGCGGCTCCTGCGGCTACACCTGCTGCTGCAGCACCAACAGGTCCACCAGCCATTCCAACAGCGCCGGCGGCCAATACAACTAAGAAAAAAGCAGTATAAAAGTTAAATGTCAGAAGTATTACACTAAAATTGCACGTACCAGTTGTACGAGTGGCACTTATCATGGCTCTATCGCCGCTCTCCTTATCTCCAGTAGCATAGTGAACAGCGGCTTTAACGTGCCCGACTACTGGAGTACCATCAGCAATGTTTGATATCGTTTCAGCACCTTGTCTCTAAACACAAAAGAGAATCACGATTTTACATCAAAGACCAATCCAGAAGAAATATCGAAAACTTGATTCTGCAAAATTTTGCGAAATCATGAATTAAGAAGGCTTTTCTGCAAAACTTTGCAAAAAAATCCCATTTTTGAAAAAAAATGGTTGCAAGTTTTTGAAATGTAATAATTTTCATCAAGTTTTTTGGAAACTTGGCACCATTTTTTTGAAAAACGGGAATTTGTTACAGAATTTTGTAAAACAGCCCACTTAATTGACGATTTCACATAATTTTCCAGAATGGAATTTTCGACATTTTTCCGGACTAGATTGGAATGACGTTTAAATCGAATTTATCGACAACAGTCATCGATGGTTCCAGTATAATTCAGTATATCTAACTTACTTGTGTTTCAAGAGCACCATCTACGTCTCCTGTAGCATATTGAATCTTCGAAGTAACCTAAAAAAATTCAGTTCACCTCTACAATGAGATGAAAAACAAACACATAAAAAATCTTGTTACCTTTGAAACTCCTGGACACTGGCGAACAAAATTCTGCTGCGTTTCGAGGGCACCTTCCAAATCGCCGTGCTGTATTTGAAAGCTACTTTTTACTTGTGAAACTACTGGGATCCAGTCAGTCGTACCATTTCTTCCATATGAGGTAGAAGTGTCTCTAGGCTTTACGAGAAAAAACTTGGTAAGTTGGGAGCAATATGATAACCGCACACTTGAATCTTGTCCATGAAATAATGGAACGTTAATTCCATAAACAGAGTGTTAATAGTAGAAAAAGAATCCTTAAACTCAGAACACGATCGTGGGCACTCGACGTTTGGAAACATCAGTAAGCAGCAATAAGTTAGCATAAAATTGGGACCTTTCTACAGTTACTTTAGACCTTGAACTTACCTTTCTTATGCGATCTGTGCCGGAAGGATTTAATGTGATGCGTGTTGAGATGAATGTACGCCAAACTCCGTCGGGATATCTTCGTGTTGCTTGCGGCTTGTCTATGATATCGAGAAAGTCTATACATGCTCTAGCATAATCTTGACTATTGTTATATCTAGCTCTTTTGACGCCATTTGCAGTAGTTTTAACAAATTCTTCAATTTCATCTAAGCTCTTGGCCGTTCTTCCAACGGGACGGTAGTATAGGATGCAAAGTGCGAGAAAATTGTATCTACCAAATCTTATTCTAATAATTTCAGAATCGCCAGAAGATATTTTATTTCTTAGATATTTTTCTGTCGAGGGCCTTTCATGTACAATTATTGCTTCATATCCAGTTGCCAAATCAGTGAAATACCACTTATCATCGTCTGTCTTAAGGGCGACTATGTGATGTGCCAGAAGAGAGTTATCAGTGTAACGTTGATGATAACCAGGCGTTTTAAACAAAATGTATGCTTCCATATTACGTTTGGGTACATCTGTGAATGAAAAAGATCAGTTACTTTTTCTGGTTGGGAGAAGCACCGATTCTGACCTCTTATATCTGGTTCCAAGGGAACAACTAGGTCAGAACAGATGCAAAATAGATATTAAAAGTTAGGAAAAAACAAGTTAACCTGGGTCGGTGGGGCGAGTCATAATTTCACACGGTGGCTCTTGTACTATTAATCGTGACTGAGTTGGCTTTTGTACGACTATTTGCGGCCGTAGTGAAGGACCCCGTATTCGTACAGTTGGTTCTTTCATTTTTATTTGTGGCTGTATTGGTGTACGCCATATTGGTGCAGTTGACTCTCGCACTGCTAACTGTGATTGTATTGGAAAACCCGAAATTGAATGTAGTAGTAGGTCTTGTAGTTGCAACTGAGACTGTACTGGTGTACCCTCATATCTCTGCCGTAGCTCTTCTACACCTGATTGTGGCTGTATTGGTGAATATCGAGCTGCATACGCTGGCTCGGGTACTTCTATTCGAGGTTTTGTTCGGCTCATTTGCTGAGTTAGCGTTTGTACTCCTGATTGTAGCTGTATTGGTGAATATCGAATTGCATCCCATAGGTTTTCTTCTGCTAATTGCACCTGTGTTGGTTCATCCTCATATCGTTGCCATGATTCTTGTACAGTTCGTTGTGGCCGCCTTGGTGAACGAGTCATTGGATGAGTTGACTCTTGTACTTCTGATTCGGGCTGTATTGGTGCACGTTCATATCTATACCACGGTTCTTCAACTGCTGATTGCGGCCGTACTGGTAAACCCCATAGTGAATGTGATAGCTTTTTTGGTGAATATCGGATTGCATCCCATAGGTTTTCTTCTGCTAATTGCACCTGTGTTAGTTCTTTTTCTGTGTTGGTTGGCTTTTTTGGTACTAGTTGTGGCCGTACTGTGGCACGCTCGTGTCGATACAATTTTTGTTTTACTCGTGAAAGTGAGGATGTGCGATTACGCTTGTGTCGACGATGCGACGATTTCCTTACTGGTGAGTCTGACGAGGACGATGACGTCGAATCTAACGAAGATTCGGACGATGTTTGTGCACGTCTATGTCGATGCGATTTTTTCTTTGCTGGAAATTGAAACGTTTTTCATGTAAGGTGCACATAATGCAAACACACCGTGAAAATTACTTTTCTCTTTAAGACACACATTTCGATTCCCAAGAAAAAGCTGATCATGCACATCACCTTCCAAGCTCGGAAAAAACTCGAAAAAAGCAAAGTATTGATCAAATTTGAAAAATCGCCAAAAAACTAATCTAAACAAAAGAAGCTGAGCCTTCGCCTTTAAACATTTTCCCTTATTATTTTCAAATTTCCACCAAAAACTGAGTCTAGAAATTGTGTTACTACTTTTTTCCACGAAATCTCGAATTTTGTCAAATACAAAATCTGGCATTACTCAAGACTCGAAAGCTCGTCACGCAAAACCCATAAACTCATTACGAAGCAAACTACTGCGAAAACTTACTCGTTGTTTTTGGATTTTTCAGACTCTAGTCTACGAAGTTACAGAAAGCATTTTGGGAATAAATAACTCTGTAAGGGAGGTATTTCGCTGCCACTAAGATACACTAAAAACGATAAAGAACCTCTAGATTATGGGCGGATAACTCAGCCTTATTTCGCTTACTCTATGTGAAATTGTAAATTCTACCTTAAAACAAGTTCTAAATCCGATGACTTACTAAAACAATGGCAAATCGAAGTTTAGTTACATTTCTAAACTGAAATCTTTCGAATTTATCATTAATCCATCTCTCAAGAGATTAGGTTTTTCGAAAAATCCTCAAGATTTTTTAATATTGGTCCTAACGTCAAAAACAACTTCCACTTATTACTTGAGTTACATACGTGCACCTTACCCTTGACTTTTATAAGCAGTTTTTGTGATGCTGACGTTTTTGTTGAGGGTGAAGTTGTAGGCCTTGTTTTAACGGATTCTTGTTGTGTTTGTGGCGAACGTGAACGCGTATGCGTAGTTTCTACTGATTCTCGTTTTGTTCGTGCTGATGACGGTGACAAGAGCATGTTTGATACCTTTCACTTTAGGCTTTTTTGAAGAAGGACGGAAACTGTTTGAGTGCTATTGTAACCGTGGTAAATAAAAAAAATGAATGATCAGCAAGGAGAATTAGTTGTGTATCAACACTATTGCATTCACTGCGTTCTTTCTTTGTTTGCCTGATTTCTCAGCGCAAGATAGGTTTTATTTAGACAAACAACAAGAAAAGTACTCGAAGTGTACGGTATTGATTGTTAGTATAGCAAATGGAAGAAAAAGAATCAATCTGTGCATTATTTTCGTTCTTCTGTTAGTAATCGGAGATTGTTAAACATTTTTGGCGTTCTGCACCGTGTAATTATTATATGTAGGGAAGAACGGAAAGAAATATTGGCAGACTCTACATACTAATTCCATCTGCTTTCATAGGTGGCTCGTCTGAAAACGGCCTTCGGCAAAAATCGGGCAGAAAGATCATTCGGCTCTGATGTCAAGGACCGAATCTAAAAAATTAGTTGTATTTGGAGTTATCAGTATCAGGTTTAGACATCGACCATCTTTTTAAAATGAACCACGCTTGAGTTGTTTTATAGCAAGAAAAAATATTCTTTTGAACGAAAGCAGATTAATGAGCAACAAAACAAGCACGTTATTTTCAGTTAATTGAGATCATAATCGTTGTACGGAGAAAATAGATTGTTTGCAATAAAACGTGAGCCTTTCGATTTCAGAATTAAAAAAAGCCAAACTTGTGTAGAGCAAGGCCGCACTCAAATGCTCTTGGTCTAAGTAGAACATGAAAAAGGGAAAGTACTGAACGATACTCCAGAACTGAAAACGTGGATCATATACAATGTATTATCCTCCAAAATAGAGAAAGAAAAGTTCGGAAAAACAAAGCAGCAGTAAATGCGAAAGTTCATACGAGTAAGAATTAAAAGGCAAAGTGCCAAGGTGAGCTAAAAAGGAAGATGAGGATTGGAACATGGCAATCGTTAAAAAAAAAGAACGAAAGAGAATGCAAAGAAGCACAAGCAGGATAAAAAAAATATTTCACAGAACAAGAATTCTATAGGAAAAGAAACGTGGATCCCAGCAGCACCAACAACTAACAGACAATGCTGTGGTTGACTAGCTATAAGTGAAAGGAAAATATTTTTTATGTTTAGTCAGGACGCGACAGAACCAGATTACTTTAAATGTGACTTTCTGGCTCGCTTTACTTCGGATGGTAGAGAAGAACAGATCGATGCAAGAATTTGACCACTAATTTTCAGTACATTTTCCACTTCAACACATCAAACTGGAGTTTACGAAAATATTTTCGAACAAGTTTCGGCTTAGTATACCCAAGGTATGAACACTTTAAGGAGAGCGTACCACAGTGGAGGATCTAGGATTTTGCGAAGGGAAATGCGAAAGGTTTATGGACCGCCCGAGGTAGTATAAGTTTTCAAAAAATCTCATCTTATCTAAAGTCTATACGTGTGTAAGAGTAGAATGTTGGTCTAAGCTATCTCGGTCAAGTTAAACGCTACAAACTTTTCTTTTCGGGGTTAACGGTTTGAAAGGGTGTTCTTTTTTTGTCTTTTGAAAGCGTTTTCTAAACCCCTCAGAAATAGGGTTTACAGAAATCTGTTTTTTTTGGGCCTGCCGGCTTTGAGAAAAACGACTTTCCAGAAAAACGCTGCGACAAAAAACTCATTTTAAAATACAGATTCGGAAACAGGACAAAATTCCGGTCATTTTGAAATAGAGAACGAGGTTTTAACTCAAAAAGTTTAAATTTTAAAAATTTCAACTTTTTTTGAATCATAAATAACTCCTTAATGGTGCGACACAGAAACTTCATTTAAATCTCATTACAAAAAAAGTAAATAATGAAAAAACGTTGAGGTTTGACAAGTTTCATTCAGAATTTTTAAATCGGTTTCAGAATTTAAACATTTTGAAGCCGATTTTTCAAAAAGTTTAAACATGTCTAAAACTAACATTTTCAACGTAGGCATAGGCACGTAACTCGAACGCCAGTAGAAAGAGCTCACAAAGATGCTTGTATGAGTATATTTTGGAGTTATTGCGACTTGAAATAAGAGTTTCAGAAATTTTCGAAAGTGTGTAAGCGGTTTTTCGGCTTACGAATACAACCGACAAATTGTTTTGCAACAAAAGCTCTAAAAAGCATTTTTTGTGATAGAAACACACTTAATTGATACATTTTTCCAATAGAGCTAAACGATATAGCACATATAGTGCCTAGACAGCATAAATTTTTTGTTTACGACTGCCGAGCTTCCTTAAACACCTTTGGAAATTTCTAAAACACTTATTTCAAATCGCAATAACTCCAAAATATACTCATACAAGCATCTTTGTGAGCTCTTTCTACTGGCGTTCGAGTTGCGTGCCTACGTTGAAAGTTTAGGTATTTTAGACATGTTTAAACTTTTTGAAAAATCGGCTTCAAAATGTTTAAATTCTGAAACCGATTTAAAAATTCTGAATGAAACTTGTCAAACCTCAACGTTTTTTCATTATTTACTTTTTTTGTAATGAGGTTTAAATGAAGTTTCTGTGTCGCACCATTAAGGAGTTATTTATGATTCAAAAAAAGTTGAAATTTTTAAAATTTAAACTTTGAGTTAAAACCTCGTTCTCTTTTTTAAAACGACCGGAATTTTGTCCTGTTTCCGAATCTGTATTTTAAAATGAGTTTTTTGTCGCAGCGTTTTTCTGGAAAGTCGTTTTTCTCAAAGCCGGCAGGCCCAAAAAAACCAGATTTCTGTAAACCCTATTTCTGAGGGGTTTAGAAAACGCTTTCAAGAGACAAAAAGAAAGAACATCCGTTTCAAACCGTTAACCTCAAAAAGAAAAGTCTGCGGCGTTTAATTTGACCGAGATATAATCTAGTGTTACACGCCTATTGCTTCCGGTGAGGGTGGTGCGTACGCATCTTTCGCACCTCGTTATATCCGCCATTGGTGTATCGAAAAAGGGTGCTTGCTCAAATCCAGAGTGAATTTCAGCCGTATTGCAGTGAATCTGACATATATTCGAAATGCTGATCCGGTTATTCTCTTTCTCTCCTCGCAATTTCCTCTAAACTTATTTCCAATGTTCATTTTTCTTCTCGTTAACTTTACTCTAACACGACTTACGTGCTATAGTTTCTCTAACTTTTTCTGCGTCATTGGTATTATTTCATTTGAGTTTCAACTTCTTTCTCTTCTTCATACTGCAATTTTCCAAGTCAAATAAAAGAATAATAAATAAAGATTTTATAAATATAATTTACTTTTTTCCAATCATGAGAATAAACTTGAAGTTCACCTTGCAAGGTGCAAGTAAACAGTATTACATTATTGGTATTTTCCAGTTTACTTTATTTCTCTATGTAAACAAAATTGTAATAGCCATTCTATAATTTGATTTTTGTTTGGATTTTTTCCTTTTTATGTTTTTCTTGTAGTGCTTTAGTACTTAATGAAGACCCATAAATTTTTATTCTGTGAGTGAAAGACAAAAAATCGTATGAAAAAAGAATAAGTTCGTAACACATATTTTCTCGTTGTTAACGTAAGTGACCAAGTTGCAAAAACACTAGGCTTTCCGTACTTTTTCTACTTGTCATTAGAAAATGGCATGCTCAATGCAAATCCAAACGACGATCGATCAACCTCAGCAACGCTTCGGCCTAATTATATTAGGTAATAAAGGGTCAATTGGATATGACGTACGCAGCCTAGATGGGCGGCTTGTCCAAGCGTGACGCAATAACGTTTTTGACAGTATAAAATTCATTTTTCTTAAAAACGAAAGAAGCTACTAAGTAACTCGTAGCTAGTAAGTAACTCTAGCTACTAAGTAATTCGTTCTTTCGCCGTTAGATCTAGCTCGAGCTCTTCTACACACGGTATCAATTTCAAAAAATTGATTGAAGTTTGGAGGAGCTAGCTTCGAAATAGTAGGCCGTGATGCAATAACGAAAAAGGCCCTTTTTTTCGACTACCTGTTACAAAATTTGCTATTCTTGCGAACTATCTCAAAGAGTAGAAATTTGTCTAGAGACAATGTTGTAGAGCTTGAAATTTTCAGTTTAATGGTGAAAAGGTTCAGGCGATATCTCCTTTCTTTAATTTAAAAGTCTAAATTTACTAACGTACTAATTTTTTGAATTTTTGAATTTCGACTTGAACTGAAGCAAATATTGGAAAAATGTCGTTTCCACTAAATCTTGCGGTGAAACAGCTTTTTGGACAGCAATTTTTTTGCTCACATTTTGTCCGGGATATTTATACATGGTTGAAATCAGCATGAAATTCTGAACAAAATGGCTTATTCAGATTTTCCTAAAAATCACTTTCACTTTTCGTCGGTTGCAAGGGCTGAGGTTCCCCCTTGAAACATCGTAAAAATTTATTTTTCTTCAAACTACCTTAAGTCAACATCCCTGGACGCCAAATTTAATGGTGATTACGATTTTGTAATTCGTGTTAACGAGATGTTTAACGCGGATGTCGTAAAAGTTAAATGCAGTAATGAGGCGGCCAAAAACACACCAACTATCATCTTTTCGTTATTGCGTCACGGATATCTCACTTTATATGACGTTTTTTCGAAACAAAAACTAATCCATTCAATGCGTCTTGAAAAGTTACGTCTAGTGCCCTACTTTGTTTCCGTAAAATCGCGAGAAGAAAGCTATAATTTTTAAAATAAGCACTTTTCGTGACGCAATAACGCTCAAAATGAGGAAGTTTTGAATTTCATATATCTCAACAACAAGAGGTGATAGAGACTTGATCTTCGCGCCAAAACATAGGCCACTATCGATAGTACTGGAATACGCACCTGTTACACTTTAAAAGCTTTTTATAGCCATGCACAGTAGTTCAAATCGACTAAGACACATGTTTCCCTACATTATCGACTACGCTCTACAATGTGACGCTAACGGTTGTACTATGCATTACGTGGACCAGTCGTGGGGCTACATCGCACAGTAGGCAGTTTACCAGTGAGCAGG